TTTTATTTTATTTTATTTTATTTTATTTTATTTTTTATTTTTCCTTCCTTCCTTTTTTTATTTTTTAATTTTTTCATTCTTGCTGTTCCTGCTTGGTGTCCCCAGAGCAGCAGCTCCAACCCCACCGCTCTGCTTGCAGCACCTCGCACCCACGTTTGCTCTTCCAGGAAAGTCTCCCCGGGGCAGAGGGAGGTTTCGCTTCCCGGAGCTGCTCTGCTCAGCAACACCCTGGGATTACGGGCTAAAACAACAAAACCAGCCCAAAGAGGGTTTTTAATTCCAATGACACCGGGCAGAGGCACCCACAAGGAGCTATTGGGGCTGGTGCTAAAAATCACTAGCTTCCTGGGAATCAATGCCTGATAAGGGGCATAATGGCTCAAAAACGGGTAAAACTTTAGCAGCTCTTGTCAATCATTAAACAGCAGCGCTGCTGATTCGGCCAGGAAAACCACTGCCCATGACACAAAGTCCTTGGAGGTCCAGGCTGAGGTTCCCGAGATGAGTTTGCTCCGGTGGGACATCCCKTAGGTAGGTCTAGTGCTTTGGCATCCGTGCCACAGCGGGAGAAGCCAGAGGAGAGAAGCCAGAGCCTCCCTCAGCAAGGAGGTGCGCGCCGGAAAGGCAAAGCTGCCCTGTCAGTTGGCCAAAAGGCACGCTTTTGCAGCCAAAAACGAGGGCAACTTTTTCTGGAAAAGCTAATCTTCCTTCAGCAGGGAAATAATGAGCGCTTGTTTTAGAAAGTATCTGGGGCTATTGAAGCAGCCCGGCACCTCCAGTGCAAAGTGACCTGTGCAAATTGTTCAAAGAGGAAGGAGCAGTTCTGAAAAACTCYCCTGAAAAACAAAACCGAGACATTTTAGATTTCGCTTCTCCAAACCGCCGGAGCCGCGAGCACCAGCTGTTTCCAGCAGCTGTTGGGTGCGTTAGATTAGAGCATTCCAGGCACCAAATGATTAGTCAATTGATTAACAAACTGGGATTTCTTGTCCAATGGAAATATTTTGCTTTYGAAATAGAATTCGATGCATGGTTAGCACATAAATACATTGCGCATGTGTAACCCATGTCTGCATCTCCTAATCATCCTGGACATGGTGGAAAGGTCTCCAAGGCTGCTCCCGATGCTCCTGCCTGGGATGCGACGCGGGTCTCCTGCACCCAAAGCTCCAGTATTTGGGTCCATCCATGGCATGTGCCCCATGCTGCAGGAGACACCCTAAAATCCGTAACCCTAAAATCTCCATGGAGCTTCCAAAATCGGCCCCTTGCTGCTTAGAAAACCCCGGTGCTTCCTTCTCAAACGGGACTTTGCAGAAGCTGTGGGTGAGTGCAGCTCTTGGGAGTGACCTTCTTATTTTCAGGAGGGAAGAACTGAAAGGATCCGGGCTGCACATGAGCAGYGACCCCGCGAGCTCCGGGGCTCCGGGTACACACAGGCAGCAGCTCATGATCCCGGCAGACTTGCTCCACCGCARTGAGCGTTAGCATCACGTTGCAGTCATTATTACATTGATTTTTATATTATAAAATATACAGCAAAGTGCTGGCTGCTCTGTGTTCCTGAGCTAGAAAGCACAGGGAATGCTCCCCGATGCAAATCCGCTGCCATGCACCACACTGCCTTGCTGCTATCTCAAGGGAAAACAGTATCCCCAGTATTGCTGAGCAGGTAACAATGGCCCAACCGCCTGTCATGCTGGTACCAGAGCTACGTGATGGGGCAGACACACTCTCTGAACAGCCTGAACGCCCTGTTTCCATCTCCAGAAGGATGAAAGGAAAGGATCAGACGGGAAGAAGTGACTGGAATTCAAGCGACTCCAATGAAATATTCCCTTTGCTGGAGCCGAGGCTCACAGGCTGCGGGGAGCAGAAGCCCTGGGTAGGTCGGTACTAACACAAGGAGGTCAAGAAACATCCCTGCCAACAAGAGCTACCCTGTCCGGAGGAGGAACCCATGGGCCAGGGACTCCCCGGCGAGCAGCGACCCCGCGGAGCCTCTAACTCAGCTCACTGGCACATGAACCGTTCCCCTGGACAGRAGGTCAAAACAAAGCAAAGGCTGCTCCGTGCGGAAGGACGGAATGGAAAAAGCGGATTAGATGGGAAGGAGAATAAGCTGCGGCGTCTCGCTTGCACGGATGTGGAAAATCAACACCCAGACGGGAGAGTCCTGGGCCACCGTCAGGGAGGCATTGGGGTGGCAGCAACACYGCTCAGACCCCGAGATGTTGGCCCCAAAACAGTGAGGATGCCCGAGGGGAACCTCTTCAACTGCTGATCACAGAGCTCAGCCCAGATGGGCTCCTTTCCATCCTGGGGTGTTAACTGGGAGTTAATGTCCCTGCACACGAGGAGCCGGRTGAAGGGCCCCTTCTCTCCCCGCTCCCACACGGCTCGAGAATCACTTCCCTGCAGCCAGTCCCACTGCTCCGAATCACCATCATTGGGACCAGACCTATCGCTTCAGCGTGAGAACTGGGCAGGTTTCCACTCTCCAAACTGCCTGATTGCGCCCTTCAGATTTATGTACTTTCTCCCTAATCTAAAGGAACTTTTTAAAGGCTCTTAGGCACAGAAACATCTCAAACATGCACATGTGTACGAGTGTGCGTGCAAGCGCACACGCACACACTGCAGCTTAGATACTGCAGATATAATCACCTGAGTAAAGGCAGTGTCTTGGACTGAAATAYGTAACCATTCTGGCCAGGAACCAAAGCAAACACATCTTGGCCCCAGCCCATGCATTTAATCAGACTCTATCCCAAGGCTTTCCGCTGTTCCTTGGCCTTGCCCAAGGTGCCCRCTCCAACACGGCACAGACCACAGGTGACTTCCAGGGCGCCCTTCATAGAGGAAGGGACCTTTATTAGTTTAAGCAAAGTGACATGCAAAAAACCACTCCAACGAGAGTCTCGTCTGCTGATGTACCAGGATACTGTGCAGGTCGATGGGTCCCCAGCACAGCCGCTGCAGAAGCTGGGGGGAACCTGGCTGCCCGGCCGGCTGGATTGCAGGACCTGGCTGGACAGTGAGGGTGATGGGACCTGCAAGCCCCTGCAAGCACTGCTGTGGTGGCAGTGCTGACGGTCCTGGTGATCACTGCCACCAGCACAGCTCTTTGGAGTCCTGTCCATCCCGCGTCCATCCTTGGAGCCAATGCATCCAAGACAGCTTGTCCGAAAACAACCTGCTCCGGCAGCAGCTGCAGCAGTTTTGACTGGTTCATTCTTTAATCTGCGGCCATCTGGCTCCTAGGCTGGGTCCAAACAGAGGAAAGATGCCCAAACACCAGCAGTATCGAACGCAGAAGGGACCTTGTCCTCCATCCTCTGCCCTGGGTCCTCCTATCTCCTGCCTTCCTGGGAAMTGGAGTACGTGGGTCCTGCGCACAAGATCCCTTGGCCATGTGCTTGGAGAGGCAGGAGGGTCGACCTGGTGCCCAAAGGATCTGGGTGGTGGATAGGGATGGTTGTGGCAGCRCTGCGGGTACCTGGCGCTTGGTGAGCCCTGCCAGGGGCACAACCTCTTCCACGGCATCTCCTCTCTCGCTGTACGTCTTTCTCCTGTCTTCACACGTCTTCCCCAGTTTGTGCCTGGCCACATTCCTAGGGGTGAGCCTCGAATTTGGAGTAAGTACAAAAAACACTTGAGCTACAGACAGGATCTGCATTAAGTCAACTAGGAACAGGGGCCTGATACTTGCTGAGAGTGTTTAATAAACCGTAGGTGTTCTTTATCCCATGCACGTTCAAACAGCTCGGAATGAAATATGCATTTCATRTTAACAGCGATGGAGACCTCAGTCTTCAAAAATCTGCTGGGAATACAATTTAACATCAACCTTCTCGTATTAAACAGGATTATCTTTAAAAAGCACTGTATTGTATTGACTGGCTTACCACAAACAATCGCCTTTTCTTTTTTTTTTTGCTTTTTGTGAGGACATCGTATTATTTTATAAAAACAACCCAAGTCGTTTGCCCTGTCTTTGGAAATGTGCATATATTTCAAGAGAGGTTCCGAACCTTTTCCTCGTTAAAAAAGAGGCGTGGAAAGAGGCTCACGGAGGAGCACGTGTGCCGTGGGTGCCGGTCACAGCCGGTGACCCAGCACGTGCAGCAGGGCCAGGGCAGCGGCGGTGGCAGGGCCTGGGTGACGGGTCAGGCTGCCCGCGTCGCTGCTGGGGACCACGGCACCGTCGTGGCTTTGCTGGTTCAGGAGCTGCGTGTTTGCAGATGCATCATCGCTGTCCAGGTCATACACCAGTTCTGAAAGCAGAAGGAGAAAGGTGGTTAGAAAAGCAGCAGAGATAAAGAAATCAAAGATGCTGCCATGTATGAGGCCCATCTCTGAGCAAACCATCAGCACAGACTCGCATGAGGTCCAGGCTGCCAGCTCAGAGGTGGATTTCTCCCACACAAAAGCCTGTGTAACCTGGGCACGAGGATGGGAAGAGACCTGCTTGGCCCCTAAGTGCAGTTCCCTGCAGCTGATGGCACCCGTGGCATAGATGAGTAAAGCAGAAGAGCCTAGAAACCCCCTGTCAACCCTCTGCCCAGCCCTGGTCTCAGGGCATCTCCTAATATCCTACAACAAGCCCTATGCTTGGAAAGTGCAAAAACCCTCACAGCTCCAAGGTGCCCCAGGAAGAAGCCAAGAGAGATATGGAGAAGGGGCTTACTTGAAGAGCTGCTCCAAAGAAAACCAGCTAGGAGGGCTTCCCAGCAAAGCAAAATACAGCTGCTCCTTATGCATTGCAAGAMCACGTGCAGGACTGCAGAAATCCAGGCAAGCACGAATGTTCCTCGTGAACCCAGAGCCAGCACAAAGCCCTGCTCGCCAGACACCACCTGCTTTGAGGAACTGAAGGTCTCTGCTCCTGGAGCCTTACAAAAGTGCAGGCAAAATACGTTCATGAGAGCACTTTCAACACACTCATCCCATTCCCTATCACATCATAAAAGCACCAGAGAACGAGGAATACAAAAGGATTGTGCATCCCTGGCATGCCAGGCCCGCAACACAGGTGGGCTGCAGACAGAGCACAGGGCAGCTCCAAACCAGGATAACATCCAATATAAAAGTTTGGATCTATCAGAGTTTTGATCTACCAGAGTAACTGGGATGTTTCTACCAGCAGAGCATCTGGACTAGACGGTGCATTTGTGCTTGATCCAAGGCAACAGGGGCCTGGCTCCCCTTCTTGTGTCGCTGCCATCTGCTCCTGTGGTCCAGGTTTACCTGCTAGAGGGGAACTAGTTAAGCCAGTCCCTCTCAGCACCAAATCTAGGCCTTTGGAAAAGCCAAGGGAGCTCCTTCCTAGCAGAAAAGACCCTGGCTCCAGCCTTCCACAAGCCCTCGTGGATCTCCAACATACTCATGGACTTGGATCATCGGACCCCACCCTTGAGAAAGAATCCAAGAGGCTGAACAAACACTCCAGCGAAAAATGCCACATCAATGCAGCGAGCATCACTGCCAAGGCAAACACCCGGCAGCGTTTCTTCATCAAAACACCCAAACGCTGCAAAACAAAAGCAAGAAGATGTCAGCATGACAAGTGAGTCAGCACAGGCCATCAAAGAGGGTCACAAATGACTGGAAGGGAGCACACATCCCTCGCCACAAAGGGCCCCATGCAAGGCAAATCTGCCCGGGAAGCGCTAGCTGACTTATCCAGGCTCCCATAGGCAAATCCACAGCTCCGGAGCTCTCCTCCTCTTTGGATGAGGAATGATGCAAATGCAACATATACATCCTGAATGCTCTTGGTGCAAATATCCCAGTGCCTCCCAGAGCAGTCACCCTCCTGGAGAGGATCCAGAGCCAAAAGCCATCGTTACCCTGCAGAAGGAGCCGCGTATCTCCGGGATGCATCCCAATGCAGCAGGGAAGAGCACAGCAGTTCTGGAGCTTCCTGCCTGCCCCGGCTTATCTATCCAGGCTCATTTCTGCAGAACGAGCAAGGGATTTAATGAAACTACAGAGGATTATTTCAGTCTTCTTTATAAAGTGATCACAAGACTCTACGGTTGGCACATCATCCTATCTGGACAACAAAATCCCTGGGAAAGGACGTGCTTTGCCTGCTATTTTAGGTTTTGGAAGGTGTGTCTATATCCTCCAAAGATTTCTAAAAAGTAAAAGACCTTGCCAGCCCCCCTGCCAGGATGGGAGCAGCAACGTGGCAAAGCTTRTGGGGAATATCCTTCTGTTAGAGCACATCGTTTTGGGAAAACCTCCCCAAATCCACAGCAGCCAGAAAACTACAGTTGCATTAAGCTTAGAGACGATGTGAACAAGTGCTTCAGCAAAGTCCTGGAGAGCACAGGGRCTTTGGCGCTTCCACCTAACGTTTAGTTCTCAAGAGTCACAATTCATGAGATCCGGGACCCCATACACATCTGAATTATGTGGGAAACTTTCACCCAAAGTGTTCCAAAACGATTACTTCAAATACAATTCCTTAGATTTCACCTGAATCTGAGGAAAGGCCAATTTTGAACTCATGGAATTTTACCCAAGTGGGAATTCTGGTTTCCTCATTCTCTTTGACCAAACTTCAAAGCAGGGAACAAAAACCTTGCTGTCATCAGAGATGTGTGAGATATTTTCCTAGCTTTGTTGAGCAGCTTTGGAAGGTTTGGGGCTGGGTGTGGTGTTCGTTTTAAATGCTCCTTGCATTATTTCCTTCTCTGCGTTTATTTGTATCCAATTGCAGGCTGAGGCTGATGGATTTAGACATATGTCTTTCATTTTGCATTAATAATGGGCCCATGTCCGTGGCAAATCCATTTCATTTAACTTCTAATGACCTTTTCTGTGAGGGTGTGTATGTACGTATGTGTGTACATATCTGTCTATCTATACGTATGTATGTATGTTGGAAAAAAAAAAGATATTCACCTCTTACAGACCAGAGGGCCAGCAAATAACAAAGTCTAGGCAATAACAACATGAAAAAACAAATAGCAATAATAATCATATTTCAAAATCCCGAAATCCAGATTCACAAATGCTCCTAATCAGATATTTCAGCTGTTCTGGTTTCATYAAGGTCCCCAATTAGCACAGAAGCTCCCCACCAATACTTCAAGTGCAGTATTTCAATAGTTCAGGGCAATATCCCGACCAAGTGCATCATTTCAGTGTTTCAGTGCAATATTTCAAGCCTTCATACCTGTTGGGGAGAGAAAAAGACGCAATAGGAAGGGGCTGTTGGGGTAAAAGCCACTGTGCTGCCCTACGCCCCCTCCTGCCACCCTCTCAGCCCTGTTTTCCATCTGACTTCTGCTTTCCAGGTCCCCCCTGCTCCAGCCCTGATTCCACACTCTAATTTGCAGCAGCTTTCTGCTACAAAGTGGCCCTTTGGCCCGCGGAGGCATTTCTGGGGAAAACTGGAAAAAAATCTGTTTCTGCTTATAATCAGCGAAGAGTCCGGAGGGTATTACCAGCAATCTGCACTAATTACGTACGCGATCCTCACTCGCCTTGGCCCTCCGTGTCCTCTGGGCCACGGATTAGATAATCCCCTTAAAATAATAGTCAATCACGGGCTGGGCTGGCTCYGTGCGTGCGAGCAGGGTGCGCGGCGCCGCTTCCTAGAACCCGCTGGCTCTAGGGTTCTAGGAGGCTCCGGCTCAACCCGAATCCTTCCCGGGAAGCAGCTTGTGCAACCAACAGCCCCAGGCACACCAGGCTGCTGTGCTGTTGTGCTCCTCGAAGAGCAAAAGCCTCCGTGGGTTTCCTGGCTCTGGTTTGCAGGATGCTTGCAGCCTGCTGCAAGCTCCAAAGTGGGTTTTGTGCAGGGGTGATGCTCGCTGCAGGTTCCTTCTAGGAGGATGTGCACCATCTCCGTGCATGCTTGTTGGGCACAAATCCTTCAAGAGCTCTTCTTGCTGAACTGCAATAGCTTTGGACACATCTCCAGGAGACAACTAAGCTGGGAGGAGGTGGTTTTCGAGCTGGCACAGCAGCTCCCGTTGCAGCTGGCACGGGGGAGAGCCAGGAGGATAAGCACCGGCATGCAGGGAGCGTCGCAGCAGGCAYGCACATTCCTGTGCAAAACACACCGATGCCCAGTGAAACACCCTCTTTTTGTKTTTTTTACCCCTAAAAGGACAACTGTATCTGAAGCAAATGACTGGCAGCAAATGCCTCTGTGGCRAATGACATCCAGGACAACAGTGCATGGCCAAGCAGGCTGGCTCGGGCGCACGGGCACAGCCAGCAAAGCTGGGAGCAGGCACCCGGAGCCAGGGAATGTCCCCTTGCAGCCAGGCATCCAGGCTGCCTGCTTGCCAAGCTTGCCCTGACAGATGACTGCAGCAAGGGACCTAATATAGTAACATACCCAGAACTGACATCCGTGCTCCAAAGCTGCCTCGTGGAGTCACTCGATAGCGAGGCGGTGCCCCTGCAGCAGCGACCGTGGCAAAGGGGATCCCAGCACCGGGCAAATCCGTCCCCTTCCCGCAGTGCCTTTGTGCAACGAGGCTGCCCCAGGACCAACGCACTCGTGGGGTCAGGAGGGTTCCTCTTGTTTGCAGAGGATGGATGCCTTGTGTGACTAAGGAATGGMTTGTGAGAATGTGTTTTCAAAGGCACAGACCGCACCCAAGGAGAGGTACCTGAGAGCAGCGTGACCGCTTTCCAAGCTCCCGCAGCTCTCCTGATCAGTGGTGAATGTTGCCTGGTGCATGTCCTTCAGGACTGGGCTAGGAGTAAACGTGCTGCTATTACAGAGAACTGCARTCCCCGAGGTGCATTAAACAGCAAGCCTGACCAGTCTGTGGAACCAACTACCTTGAGATGCAGTAGACTCTGGATGTCTCCAAAGCTGGATTGGATTCCTCATAGGGGAAGATGTTCACGTGAAGCCCAAGTTATTGGGCTTCACCTCATTGCAAGGCGAGATGTCAGGGCCTGCAACACTGCAGATCAGACCGCCTGTCCCTGGATCCCACTCTTCCCATCTTGACCCTACTAAGTGCTTTGATAGCACAGCTGTCATCACCTGAAATCTGGAAAACACTGCTGTTTCAGCGTATACTACTGCTGCTTGAGCACCAAAAGTTTTGCTCWGGTCCAATGTCCCTCCTTCAATTTCCCAGCTGTCTAATGCAAAMACTCCTTCCAGGCACACCTCTTCATCCAAAAAGCAAACGTCTGAGCAYGTCCACAGTGCATGGACACAGTGGACATGGTGCATGTGGCCACAACCGCATGGAGAGCCAGGATCCTCCGCTCTCTGCATCCCCAAAACACC